CATTTGTATTTTTATCTGCAATAAAATTATTATTATTATTATAAAGCCTGAGACTGGGGGTGGAAAGAAGGTAATCACTATTGGAGACGGAAAGAAATGAGGAACGGCAGCGTGTCGACTACTACTACTCGGATAGAATGGACATTTACAGTTCTTACACCTTCCCAGCGGCACTGTCCTCGCATGCGTCTTCCGACGAGCACTGCGCAGGGTGTTTCCCAGTGATAAAATTTTGTTTTTGAACTAATGTTGAATATTGAACAGTGGCACATGGAGCGCTTACAAGCTGTCCAGGTTTAGAAGCATAGAATGGAAATATTGAGGGCGAAATGTCGTCGCTGTTCTTACATTTGGTTTCTTTTTGGAGCGTGCTCTTCCTCGACGTTCCGGCGCTTTCAGATTCTGAATTGGAGGTCCCTTGCAGGGCTTCTCTGCGGGTAGCGAGCTCTTGTCCTCTGAACTCAATTCTGGAAAGAGCAGCACTCGCTGGGGCGTGCGCAGTTTCGTGTTTAGCCAGGCACTTTCAAATGTGTAATCAATGCCGTACACGCACGGCGACGACCGTCAAAGGGTGAACTGTGGTTGTGATGTGAATTTTCTTTTTTTTGTTTTGCAGGGATGCAGAAGTGATGAGGCTCAAACAGAAGAAGGCGTTGGAAAGTGGGGGAAATGCGAGTTAGAGGCTGCACAGAGCTCTAGTGCACGGCGCTTCCACGGGCAAAACGCGCAAAAATTAGGGAAAGCGTCGTCTGCCGTACGGGCGGGAATCCAGGGCCCGCCAGCAATTGGTTTGCAGATTCTTTTCTAGCACGAGTGGCTGCAACGACGACGATGGCGTTTTTGTAACTTCTTTCACTTTGTATTGGCAGTGCTTGCTGTAAATAAATTGTTTTTTCGGGCACTTTTCAGGCGGGTACGACGAGCGTTTGTTCGGTTGACCCAAAACTTGCCGTGAAATTGGGAGCTGGCAGTCTTTTGCAGCTTCGTAATACCCGGTGCAGGGAATATTTGGCACCCAATATGGGAGAACATGAAGTGTCAAAAAGGTCGAGGGATTTTCGAGAAATGTTCAGCTTATTGCGCACTTTTGTTGCCTTAGCATTCGGTGAACGTTAGTGGTGCATCCGTATCAACACGTGGGAAGGATCTGCCATGCACAAACCTCTCTAAGTGAAGGATATGACATTGTTTCCATATGCTTTCTACCGTATAATATTTGGGGGTTAAAAATGTGCTTGCCCCTGGAAATCATTTAGAACATTGATCACTGGATTGTGCCACGTGAAGAGCCGAAAAACTACCTCCGTCGGCCAAAAAGGTGCGAGCTCGATTGTGCCGACGAAGGTAGTACAGGACTATGCACAAACTACACTGTGTGTGTGGTTTGTCCTAGTCTTTTTTTCATTGTGTGCCAAAGATGTTACCCAGGGCAAGATGAGCAAACGAGCACGCTGTGCAGGTACTACCTTGTATTGCTTTTGCACAGCGTGCGACATCAATGAGGCGAGCAGTTGCGCGGTACGTCGTCACTGCTCTCGTCGACACGTTTTAATGGGATCGCGGCACTTCTAGAGTAGCAGCACTACGCGTCTCGGTGGCCATTTGCGATGAGACATTTTGCTGGCTTCCTCTCGCAGTTCCCACGTGCGACGTCGCGGAACGGAATCATCGATAGACCACTTTCAAAGATCCCCGCTTTCAACACTGCGCATGTTGTGTTATGGGACTTTGACTGGGGAGAGGAGTGGTACGGTTTCAGCAAATACTTTACTAGGGGAATCAGAGACGCTCCTCATTTGCATTAGACGAAACAATGGCTACACCATAACCCACCTCCTGTGTAGTTTATTTCTCCTCTCGCCACTAGGGCACATCCAGGCAACGCCTTGGAATGCGGTTCAGTCAACAAGTATGCGAAGGCGGTACCACCGATGCGGTTGCATCCCTTTCCGCAGATATTCGTCGTTGACTTTTTCTACATATTCTCGGGGAGTGTCCCGTATTCCCCTCATAAAGTATTTGGCTTCGGTTTTGATCGCCCCGTCGACGAGGTAGCGCACTTTGGCACTGCATTGAAAAATTCACAGGGTCTCTCGTGTTATCCCCAAGACGACTCAATGGAAGCCCAAGCACCTCTCCATTAAAGACAGACACATGGTTTACTCGCCAAGTCATCCGTCTTAATGTGCTGCGTCATCTTAATTCGCTTAGTCATCCACGAGTGGTCAAGTAAGCTTTGAAGGTCAACTTTATGATGAGATATGTAAGGCTTTCGCCTTAGTCTAGGCTCGCGTGCATTCCATCCATTTGTCTTTGCGAGAGCCCCCGTTGAGACATGAACTTCCCGGGGTTGCAAAGGCCCGCTTGGGCTTGGTGAGAAATTGTCCCTCACCATGTCCCCCACCTGCCTGGTGGCCCGGTTAGCTCTCAATGCGGCACAACCTTTTCGGCTCGCAGATAATTGAAGTAGCCGACGGAACAGGACGATGCAACTTTCCTTGTAAATTTAGGGAAAGTTGCATATTTGAAAATGCGAGCACCGTATTTGGTCTTGACACGATGCCACGAAGCGAGGCTGGTCAATTGAAACAAACTTGGTGGCCGACGGGTTCCCGAGATGTGTTGCATAGCACTGTGCCGCTAGAATTGCTTCAATTTCGAAAGAGGTCTATTGCCGGCGACATTGTCGACGGCAATTGTAAAAGGAGCGCGGTGGGAGCTTGGGAACAGTTGCATCCTTAAACCAAAACTGTCAAAGTTAACTGTCTGACATTTTTTATCTCCATTAATAAACATTTAATTTGTCATACTCGCGAAGTCGTAGCGAGCGTTGGCCAATTGTGGAAGGTCGACCAGAGCGCTGCTTTGGGTATTGGACCGCCACTGCACCGACTCGGGTTTGAGCCCCGATTGGGCATCTTTATCACGTCGCTAAATACGAGGGGAGTTCGTAAAAAATCAAATTATCGGCGACAAAAAAAAAAAAAAAAATGCTGCTCAAATTTTTGTTGTGGGAAAGCCCACATTCCTGTAGTCTCAGTACGTTCAAAAGGTTTCTTGTGCAATCCACAATTACTTGCACCAAGATTTTCGTGCAATGAGGGTCGCCGCTTGAGGGTTCCGAGGTTGCTCTCTCAAAAAGTGCACTGAAAGGAATCGTCGACGAAAAATAGCAGCTTTGCCAATTGGACCTCGGCAAAGCTGCAACATTCGCCCTGTTGCCACTGGTGAGTATTGGGTGTACCATTACGACCCTAACCCTAAGGAACGATGAAATTGGCCGAATTCGCCACAGTCAAACAAGGCTGTTGTCAGGAAAAGTGACGATGAGACACATTAACTGTAGCATGAAGTGGAGCCGGCAAACGACACCTAAATCCCGCTGGCAGCGACGCATCATGTGGCTCCGTAGCAACGGCGTCGTCGTTGCTATAAAGCCAGCCGAACTTCTGGCGGCTCGGCGCAGAGTCAAAACAAAGTAAATTAATGGCTTTGAAAAGATTTCATACATTTCGGTCTGGATGGGATGGGCGTCTCACACCCGGGGGCCTCCTGGGTGCAAGACGAGCACACTTCCCCGATGCCACGGTGGCTCCACAGTTCTGGCTGACTAAAGCTGTGCCTAGTCAGCCTTACGTGTGTCATGCTTTCGCATTCCCACACGTAAGCAGTTTTAAAGACCGACAACCAGTTCGCACTTTCCACTTTTCCCCCGCTTCCTCCTCTCCCCCTTCCTACCCTGTGCACCATTGCCTGTTTCCTCCTCCCCCAGGGTGAGAAGGATCTTCTGCCTTGCAGAATCGTGTGTCTGGTCGTCGACCTTTAAGCATCTCTTCCGAATTTTTTTTAACTGCCATGGTGTGCTCTCGATAGATCGTTCTCGTAAGGGCCAAAAAGTAGGGAGTGAATTTTATTGCAACCTCTCGACAGGGTTATGGGAGGGGTGCTCCACCGCGATGCACCGGCTCATTCTGCGCAGCAGACGCGTGGCTGCTTTAGGCTATACCATTTCGCCTCGACCCTCCGTTTACCCGACCTGGCACCGGGTTAACTCTTACCCTTTCCTCGTATGAATGTCCATCTCATGGCAGCTGCTTCCAGGACGAGGAGGAGGCGATTGTCGAGTCCAAACACTTCTTTGAGAGTCAAAATAAGGATTCTCACGACCGGGGTGCCTGCCAGCCCGTCCATTGGCAGGGAGTGAGAGTCTCCTCGGGCGACGCATATCGGAAATGGAACGACCCTCGCTTTTGACACTCATGATCGCAGCTCTCTTCCTTCGTGGCAATGTGAACAGTATGAACTGCCCTTGTATGTTAAAGGGATGCTGAAATTAAATTTGAAATGTACCTCCCTCATTCCAAAATAGGTTGAACACGATCAACCATATTAGAGAGAACCGAACACGGTGCTCCGAGGGACGTCATTGTGCACCTCGCTTGAAAGATGATGCGAGCTTTAATTGGTTTCATCCTTTAAAAATAAAAACTAGCGCACGCAAGAAAAAGAAGTGTTTTTCTGTTCTCCATTTCACACCACAACACGCAGCCTCGACGTTGCACCGCCGCAGCGGCACTGTTGGCTTGCCCACGCTCGGTGCGGGCAAGCGCCGACTTGTTTGTAAAGAGCACGTTGGTCAATAGGTGGCGTCGGACAATTCCTGCAATTAACCAGCCAAACTCCGGAAATCATCGCACCACCACCTTTTCGGCGGCAGAACTCCAGACGGCGGGACCGGCTCCTCGCAATACCCACGGACGTCGACGGATGCACTGCAGACCTACAGGCTTGCCTGAATGTGCATCCGGTGAAAAACACTTGCCCATGAGAAAGGTTGTTTTCTTCCTTGCCGACGAGTGAAACAGCGGGACAATGCTGCGTCGCACTGCGTCGTAACACTGTGTGTACATTCTGTTATCGCCGCCTTTGCTGGCTGCCGGCTGCCGGAGCTTGCACGGACCGTCGAGCTGTAGGTCGATTTGGTCTTTAACGAGCCGAAATCTGGTTTATGCGATGCAGTCTTTATTCCTACTTGATGTATGGTTGCACGTGAAAGAATGAAAAAAACTTCTGAATGACGACGGGTGCTGTACACGTGGGATGCTGGTTGCCCGTTCGCGTTGCGGCGATGCTTGTCAATGTTCGTGGCAGCAGGTTTTCTGCTCCTCTCTGGCCTGCTGTAGAGCCTGCAAGGACGGAACGCCGGAGTTATGGCGGTCCTCCAAACTAGGAAGGGTTATTTTCCACGTGCCACAGTTATAGTAGATGTCGTGGAAACGGCTGTCGATTATTACGGCATTGGTAGAAATGTTTACCGAGTGTGCTACTCGCAAGTGGCAACAGCATAATACACGTTTTTATCCAGACCAGACGCTTTAAAAGTTAGTTTTACGCAGTGCGGGCTACTTACTGCTGAAAATATACAAGAATTTGTTCCTTCTAGGTCGTTTGTCACGACGACACATGAAAGATGTTGCAAATAACAGAGTATGTTAATGACAGTTTATGTATCATGCCAGCTTCTTTCCAAGTACTATAATAAAGCAGTCATTTGTGAAAGTGTGCTTTGTATAAGAAGATTTTACATGCAGACTAAGAAAAACCTTTTATTTTAACCAATATTTGCTTTTGCACACTATATACTGGGTGTGGACTAGAGTCCAGAAATTATGGTACACCCATGAGCGATATGAAGGTGAACAGCTTTCTTCTTGTTTTTGACACTCCTGCAAGTTTTGGAACAAGCTCTGTTCCAAATGAGGGCTACAACGCAACGTTTAGACCCCCAAGCCACGTACCATTTGAGACGTTGAGAGTTAATATAGCTTTAGGGAGCCGTAAAACGGGCAAGAAACCAGGTAAGGTGTTCGCCTTCATATTGCCGGCAGGTGTACATCTTCATGCCACACACTTTTTAGGGAGGTAAAAGTGATACAATGAATCATTTTAAGAAATCACAGATTCAGGAGGTTCTGGTATGAAAACGTGAGCATATGCTCAAGCGAGTGCATGCACTCCCTCGGCCAAGGAAGTTAGATCCTGCTGGCTCCACTTTGCTGCAGTGACCTATACTAGGCGCCTCTGAAGTCCCTTTTGTGCATATTGGGGCTCATCTTTTTACCCCCAAGTTTGTTCTAAGACGTGCATTGTTTCATCCTGGGAATCCTCGAGGTGGTGCAGGATATTTCTAAAATGATGGGTTGTTCTACCGGCTCAATCGGTTTGCATGATACTTGGTAATGCGTTGCATGCGATTAAGGATGGTCCGTGCTTCCACGTGCGTCGTGCGGAAGCTCCTACACAAGTAATGCGAGCTGGTCGATTAAGTTATAAATTTAACACTAGAACTACCATGTACACGTGCTGAGTGGCAACAGGTCTTGCATCCGAAGGAGTCCAAGCCACAGTCACTAGAAAGTTACGCTTAGAGCATCGACGCTCTCTTCACCCACTGTCCGACGAAGCAGCAACGCTCATTTGTCCGTCGACATCGCGTGAAATTTGTTCCCATGCCATCAGCTCACAGGTGCCACCTAATTGATACTTAGAGCCACACAAACACAGTTTGGAAGTTTTTTTGTTTTTTTTAATTTCTTTATTTATTTAGAATATGCATAAGGTAGTCTGTTAAAGAGGGGGGTGAGCTAATAAGAATATTACAAAGTGCACCTATTAGTAAATTTATTTTTAAACAAAACGGCATTGGCGACGTTAGTAATCGAAGTGGAAAGGCGGTTCAATCCTTCAACGTTTGAGGTATGAAAGAATACTGAAAAGACGTTTAAAAATTAGAAATCATCCTTATCATTTATTTTCCTTAAGGAATCGCAGGGGATGTATATAACAAGGCATCACTGGGGTATGGAAGGTGATGTGGGAGATATATGAACTGTGAAATGCCGACCTCATGAATATGACCAATGCGAGAAGAGATGCAGGGTGGTGGATTTATTTATTTATGACGAAGTGCAGTGTCCTGATGAGAGATTTTAGGATATAGACACAAACAAAGGATTTTATGGCAATGCACTAGAAATAGCAGATCCAATGAGTTTTTCATGGTAGTAACACTGGCAGTACGGTGATAGTTGCTTGGGATAAAGTGTATCGAGTGATTCTGGATGGATTCAATAAGTGATTAACCCTTTATTGACGAGATATACAAAAATTGCTTAAGACATGTATTGGATCAAATAAAAGAACAAAGCTGAAATAAAAAAAAGTTACAAGGTAAACTTGCAAGTTACAGCTTTTCCTTTTGCCTGTGGGCAACACCAGAGAAAAATCTGAACGTGGCTGGCTCCCTTACGTAACCTCTACGAATCGCCATGAAATGTTAATAATATCTGCGCATACGATAGCCCCAAGTAAAACAGTCGCCTATCGCAAAATAGCTGTGTCCAAAGCAAAACACTTATATCCATATTTTTTGCCCAACATTCTGGGGAAACGTTCTTGGTTGCCCCGTATTTGCATGCCAAACTTCTTTTCTTTTGTCAACTGTTCGCACATCTTTTCACTAAATGGCACTGCAGTTTCGATCTTCAAAACTGTTGCCAGACTACTAGATAAAAAACAAAGTGATAAAACCAAAACTATTGAACAAAAAAGTTATTATGCAGTTTGTTTAGGCTACGCTCGTCAACAAAGGGCTAACAATGAAAGGCTGGGGTCCCACACGGCAGCAGCATATTACAATTTTTTAGTATATTACGGTTCTGGAATGCAACCATTTTAGGGGTACAGTCGACTTCCATTAATTCAAACTTCTGGATAATTCAAACTATCATGCAGCTCCCATCCTATGCGTGTCTATGGGAGAAAACTCCTGATGATTCAAACTTTGCTTTATTCAGACGAATGTTCGGTCCCCCTTGAATTTGAATTAACAATGTTTGATTGTACTAGATAGCGTGCCAGGAGATCATTGTGGAATCGTTTTTGCTAGTAGCAACCGGGACGGAAAGCATGTCGGCAAGAGCTGGTGACAACTGGCAACATTGATCCCATGCACCAATGTGGCTGTTAAGTGTCGTCACACTAAAGAAGGGGTGGCCAGACAGACATATACAGAGCCATAAAAAGAACCATTTTAAAGGGACCATGAAATGAATTTTTGGCTGGGACAAATTGGGATTTTACTGATCGCATATCACTTAGTGCGCCTAAATGAAACTAGGATGCGAGCGTAGAAGGCGTATTGCCTGTTTTTCGGTATGAAATTTTGAAAAAAAACAGTGGACTATTTCGTACCTCCTTTCCTTCGAAATTTCTCAGCCTTTTCACTGCGATACATCCGCAGTTCCCAAGCACGCCAGCCGAACCCAGCTCGCGCATTCGACACAAGCATTGCGTAACCCGGACATAAGCACTTGTCAATGATCAATCTGTCGATGAATATTTGAATTTGCGTTCGTGGCCAATGAGTGCCACGATGGCACTTGTCATCACTTGAGAATGACATTTTGCATGGTGCGCTTACAAAGCAAGGTGAAAGCTTGGGAGTTGACGCCTCCGGTGTTGAACCACGTCACGACCACATGATTTCCAATTTCGCTTCCGCGTTGAGGATTAAGGCCAAGGAGGAAGAAGTTGAAAAATCATTTCATGGTCCCTTTAAGCGAAGAGCAACAGTGAAAAGGAGAGTAGCAGTGTTTTCGTTTTAAAGCCATTGAGCTGCACTCAAAGAGCATCGTTCATTACGCTTGATGCCACTGAGGAGGCATCAAGCTGTTTGTGGGTCACTCAAAACAAATAAAAAAATAAAATAAAAGTGCATCCCCATTCGTGAAACAAGCACCTACAAGTTCGGCTAGAATGACGTCCGTACGCAGTGTCCCGAGCAACTTGGTTGTTAGCTGTTTGTTTGTGAGGGTCGCACACAGCTTATGATTGTACTACCTAAACTGTTGAGAGGAGTGCCTCACAGCAGTACGCTGACCTGAACACCGACGGAAGTTTCTGGCACGATGCTGGCTACCATTTCTTCTATATCCCTAGTGTTACATTTGACAACATGACACAAAGGCTTTTGTGACGTCATTTGTTGCCACTTTGATGTGTGGGCGGGATAGGATGCTAAACACACCAGTCAGAGGATGCGTTAAGGCATTGTAGGCTGGTCACCTCCACTTTGACGCGTAGCTTCTTTAGTAGTTCAAGCACGTCACGAAAGCCACACAATCTCATTAGGAGAATTTGAAAAGTAACTTTATCATGACAACTAGTGCTCCAGTCTGAGACTCGTGTTTGGGCTGTTATTTTACTCCCCGACAGCTTCTGGATGATGTTTCACTGTTGGACTTACAAGGGCACTAACAGGTCAAAATCATTCTTTTTTTTATTATCCCAAATGATTAAAAACGATGCCTAGACATTACCCTCAAAATTCGAAGCTTGGAAATTCAGCATTTGTAAAGTAAAAAAAACAAAAAAAAAACTGCCAGCGTTTCCACTTTGGTGAAGAAGGAAGACCGGCGAAGCTGTGCTACGGTCTGACGACCTCATGGACGACTTTTTGGACGACCTCAAAAATGACGCCTAAAGACGACGCCTAAAGACAACGCCCAAAGATGACGTCTAGGACGACCTCAAGCATGATGTCTAGGACGACCTCGAGGACAACTTCTAAGACGACCTAGAGGACGACCTCAGGGACGACCTCAAGTATGACACCTAGGACGACCTCAGGGATGAAGTCTAGGACGACCTCAAGGACGACTTCTGGGACGACCTGAAGGACGACCGAGAGAACGACTTCTAGGATGACCTCAAGAACGACTTCTAGGACGACCTCGAGGACAAACTCTTGAACGACATCAAGGACGACCTCAAGGATGAAGTCTAGGACGACCTCAAGGACAACTTCTAGGACGACCTCGTCAGAATGACCTCAAGGACGACTTCGGGGACGACCTCAAGGACGACATCTAGGACGATGCCTAGAGAAATTCAGCCTTTCGACTGGTGAAATTAGACTGGAAAGGCTGGAAAGGTTGTCGCCATCTATGAGCAAGGCCGGCAAGCTGATTGTTTGGTTGCCGTTGTCGCTCATAGATGGCGGTAGCTGTCCAGAGTTTTTAGTCGACTTTTCTTTGCGGGGGACACGATCCTGGGGAAACTAGCCCCTAACAGCTCCGCTGTAAAAACAATTTCCAGAAGCCGAATTTGAAGTTCCCGCGTGGTC